AATCTTTACTAAAGTACGTAATTTGCATGATATAAATATTGATATAGACTAAATATATAAAATAAGATTTTATTTCTTTCTCAATGCATATAGTAATTTCAAAAAGTGTTAGTCAATACTCTACTGAAAGGAAATTTCAAAGTAAAATAATATACTTTCAGAATAGACATTAAATTAATTGTTTTTATTGGCAATATGGTAAAAGTTAAATTGGAATCTAGAACCAAAGTCCAAAAAGTAAAATGAAGTGTCAACTTTTTAATTGAAAATAATTGTCAGTTTCACCCCAATGACAATCTTACTTAAAAACTCAGTAAAATGATTACAAACACTCACCCTCATGCTCTATAATGCTTAACACAATAACATTCATTCCTAAAATTTGATAAATATAGTATATTGATTTTACTAAAAACCATATATAGATATATTCACATTTTTAATATTCATCTTCATTGCTTAGCTACTACTTGATGGTCCCATACTGTTTAAGAATAGAGATCAAACATTTTTTAAAAACAAAACTATAACAAAATTTCATGTTCTAAGATCAATTTTAACAATATTACTCGAAAAACTCAAAATCAAACGCAAAATCGTAAAACCCAAAACTGAACATTCGATCCTTTGAATTCTTTAACCAATTATCAAGCCAACTCAAGCACATATTTATGTTTCACCACAAGTATATCAGTATCAATCTTTTTCAAATTCATTAGTGATTTAATCAGATATATATGACAAATGATTAATGAACCTCCTCACCAAATGGTGCATAACCATGATGAGTAATCAAGTAGTTTGATGATTATTTAAAATACAAGGAGACTAAAATTTTTTGTATGATAATTACATTACTCATAAATAGTGGAACATCAGATTACAATATTTTAGGATAAAACATGTGTTGAGGTTCATCCTTTACTTCACTGTATTACAAAAGCACACCTAGAAAAGAATCATCAAAACTAATGTTTAATTACTTGTTTTTGCTCTTTCTTGCTAATATACCCTTTTTCTTGCTAATATACTCGTCTAAATCTACTCCAGCTATAAGTTTTCTGTCATCGTTTGCCATTATGTTCATTCAGCATTATTGGTACCACTATTGCTCCCTCTCCTGCTTGCTGTTGTGTTCTTCAATATCTACAAAGAGCAATTACATGACTCAGTAAGATAAAGCCAAACAAAACTGACAGCACTGATGAACTTTTTTTTTTTCCTACTACAGATTTCTCCCAACCAAAGACTACTAATCTCACTTGGGTTGTTGTGATTATCATCAAAGACAAGTTTTAACACACATCGGTATAAAATATGCAAATTTGGTAGTGTATTCTAGTAAATAAGTACCAAAAGTGGTCTGCTATGAGCACATAGGAGAAGTAACAAGCTTATGAAACCTTGGTATTTTTTCGATGCGCATATAAAACAGGAAAAAAAGGAACCAAGTTCCTTCCACTTCATCCAATAACTCAAGGTTTTCTTAACCATTTTGATGTCATATGAAGTCCTAGCTTAAGGACATGTTTGGATGAGCTTCTCCATAAACATTTCTAGACGAAAAAATGTAAACAAAAACATGAAACTGACTTTTACATAAGCATAAATTAGCTCATGCATAAACTAATTAACCTGTGGAAAAGTCAGTTTAATTTTTTTCTTATTTTGTACTCTCATAAAACTTTATGAAGAAACTCGTTCAATCAAATTGAAAGACTAAACTGATATTGATGGTTTCATAAACNAGTGTCACATTTGTGGTCTTTTGCTATTGTCTAGATAACTCAGTGTCTCGTCTAAGGGCTTTTCTTATGTTATTGTCTAAGTAAGTTATCGTCTAAGTAACTCGGTGCCTCGTTTGAGGGCTTTCATTTATGTTACCCTTTAGATAACTTAGTGGCTCGTTTGAGGGTTTTTCTTCTGTTATTGTCTTAGTAGCTCGGTGCCTCCTCTGTGGGCTATCCTTATGTTATTGTTTAGGTAACTCAGTGCCATTTGAGGGCTTTGCTTATGTTACTCTCTAAGTAACTTGATGCCTCGTTTGAGAGCTTTCGTTTATGTTACCATCTAGATAACTTGGTACCTCGTTCGAGGGATTTTCTTAAATTATTGTCTAAGTAACCCAATGTTTTGTATGAGGGCTTTCATTTATGTTACCATATAGATAACTCGGTGTCTCATTTGAGGGTTTTTCTTATGTTACTGTCTAAGTAAGTCGGGTGTCATGTTTATGGGCTTATGGTGCCATGTTTGTGGGTTTTATGTTATCGTCTAGATAATTTGGTGTCGTATTGGAGGGATTTTCTTATGTTATTGTCTAAGTAACTTGGGTGCCACATTTTTGGGCTTATGGTACAACGTTTGTGGGCTTTATGTTATCGTCTAGATGATTTGGTGTCTGATACACTCTTGCTGAAGTTATGAAATTACTACTACTTAATAAGGTAACTTCAGTATTATCAAGTTAGTGGTTAACGAACTAGATATAGTTAAATTAATACTGCGGCGTATCTCAACGAATACAGAATTATTTTTCAATAATTGATTCTTATAAAATCTTACTCAAAAGTTTATAAAACACAGTACAAATACTAAAAGATAAAAGTAAAAATCTATCCAAATGGAATAATATTGAAGATTGATATAAATACAAATATAATAAAATAAAAGACTTTAAAAAAATTGTATTAAAATAGGCTAATTTTGTCCAAAGGAAGGTTGATTGGTATGTTTTTTTTGGCTTCCTCCTCTTTCTCATTGGTTTAAATGTAATATTGATGATGTTATTAATGGTTCTCTTGATGTATTTAGTTGTGAGGGTATTTTTGTATATTGTCATGTTTCTAATGTTTGCTGTTTCTCTTCATACCTTAGTGTTCATAATGTTTTATATGTAAGTGTGATCTTTTTATTTTACAATGGACTAATCTTTGGATTGAGTGTGACTCTGAACTTATTATTCCAACTTGTTCCAATTCTTTTATATATTGATTTTCAAATTTATAGAGAGTAATCTAAATAATGAACTTGGTACTAGATTTCAATATTATACTTGACGAAGTTTCTAACTTTATTTATTCTAACTTTTGCAGAAACATGTTTGATTTATCTTTTTACAGGTTAGAAATTAATGTGTCAATTTTGGTCCCTTGTTATTTATTTTGCATATGATATTTAAATGTGTTGCATATGTTTGATGTTTTTTGGTCGTGTGAGATGATACACACAACATGATAATTAACACTCTCATTTTTATTAAAAAAAAAAAAAGCGTTAACAGTGATATGATATATAGAAAGAGAAAAATTAATAAAAGGTAACATGTGTATAATAAATGTTTGAAATTCATTTTTTAAATTTACAAGAGAAAATTTTGAAAATCCTTTTTTTACACACTCTCGTAGGTTAAAATTGATCATTTTGTACTAATTTTGTCTTTTTTGTTTTAATAAATTTCAACACAGGCTTATCTAAAACAATTGTTACAAAATGTATTCCTAGCACTTTATATTTGTAAAACAAGGAATTCTTTGAAAATTTTTCCTTGACAAATATTTCATTTCAGACTAACACCACATTGATAGATACATTTAATATTTGAAGAGAAGAACAATGAACTGTACAATAATTTCAATTTTAGTGTTTTCATAAAGACTTTGTTTCACCAATTAATGGGCTACAAGAGCTTACTATACCTATAAGCAATTTGTTGTAATTTTTGTGGGGGAAAGGTTAGGTATTAGGTTTTTTGTGATTGTAGTTAGAATTGGAAGAATAGTGTTGAAATCATCAACCTATGACAATAAATATGCATCAATTCAATTTATGTCTAGTCCCTTTCACAAACCTAAATAGAAACCAAACAAAACATACATCTTCACGTCACACTTTACATCATATTAAAAATCATAGTTATTTTTCTTAATTTTAGGGTTTAAAGTTTTAGGACTAACTTAATAACATTTTTTTTTTCAAAATTCAAACATTGAACTGAAATTATTAAGTTTACAAAATTTTGTACGAATAAAAATTAAGTAATTTTTATCACCCTACTTTATTTTGATAAATAATATATTATTTAAAATATAAATGAATATCTTTTGTTAAATAGATACCAATGATATAAAGACAAAAGTTTATTGTTTATTACCTTACCTCTATCTCTTCTTTTATCATATTAATCTTTACTAAAGTACGTAATTTGCATGATATAAATATTGATATAGACTAAATATATAAAATAAGATTTTATTTCTTTCTCAATGCATATAGTAATTTCAAAAAGTGTTAGTCAATACTCTACTGAAAGGAAATTTCAAAGTAAAATAATATACTTTCAGAATAGACATTAAATTAATTGTTTTTATTGGCAATATGGTAAAAGTTAAATTGGAATCTAGAACCAAAGTCCAAAAAGTAAAATGAAGTGTCAACTTTTTAATTGAAAATAATTGTCAGTTTCACCCCAATGACAATCTTACTTAAAAACTCAGTAAAATGATTACAAACACTCACCCTCATGCTCTATAATGCTTAACACAATAACATTCATTCCTAAAATTTGATAAATATAGTATATTGATTTTACTAAAAACCATATATAGATATATTCACATTTTTAATATTCATCTTCATTGCTTAGCTACTACTTGATGGTCCCATACTGTTTAAGAATAGAGATCAAACATTTTTTAAAAACAAAACTATAACAAAATTTCATGTTCTAAGATCAATTTTAACAATATTACTCGAAAAACTCAAAATCAAACGCAAAATCGTAAAACCCAAAACTGAACATTCGATCCTTTGAATTCTTTAACCAATTATCAAGCCAACTCAAGCACATATTTATGTTTCACCACAAGTATATCAGTATCAATCTTTTTCAAATTCATTAGTGATTTAATCAGATATATATGACAAATGATTAATGAACCTCCTCACCAAATGGTGCATAACCATGATGAGTAATCAAGTAGTTTGATGATTATTTAAAATACAAGGAGACTAAAATTTTTTGTATGATAATTACATTACTCATAAATAGTGGAACATCAGATTACAATATTTTAGGATAAAACATGTGTTGAGGTTCATCCTTTACTTCACTGTATTACAAAAGCACACCTAGAAAAGAATCATCAAAACTAATGTTTAATTACTTGTTTTTGCTCTTTCTTGCTAATATACCCTTTTTCTTGCTAATATACTCGTCTAAATCTACTCCAGCTATAAGTTTTCTGTCATCGTTTGCCATTATGTTCATTCAGCATTATTGGTACCACTATTGCTCCCTCTCCTGCTTGCTGTTGTGTTCTTCAATATCTACAAAGAGCAATTACATGACTCAGTAAGATAAAGCCAAACAAAACTGACAGCACTGATGAACTTTTTTTTTTTCCTACTACAGATTTCTCCCAACCAAAGACTACTAATCTCACTTGGGTTGTTGTGATTATCATCAAAGACAAGTTTTAACACACATCGGTATAAAATATGCAAATTTGGTAGTGTATTCTAGTAAATAAGTACCAAAAGTGGTCTGCTATGAGCACATAGGAGAAGTAACAAGCTTATGAAACCTTGGTATTTTTTCGATGCGCATATAAAACAGGAAAAAAAGGAACCAAGTTCCTTCCACTTCATCCAATAACTCAAGGTTTTCTTAACCATTTTGATGTCATATGAAGTCCTAGCTTAAGGACATGTTTGGATGAGCTTCTCCATAAACATTTCTAGACGAAAAAACGTAAACAAAAACATGAAACTGACTTTTACATAAGCATAAATTAGCTCATGCATAAACTAATTAACCTGTGGAAAAGTCAGTTTAATTTTTTTCTTATTTTGTACTCTCATAAAACTTTATGAAGAAACTCGTTCAATCAAATTGAAAGACTAAACTGATATTGATGGTTTCATAAACCATGCATAAGCTAACATGAATATCCCCTTTGTTCCTTTATAAAACAAATTTTAGAGCACACAAGTCAAAAATAGGTAGAGTAAGTAATGAGTTAGAGAGATGTATATATAGTTATAATGATGATGCCATGCTAACAAAATAAGAAAAATTAGCATACTTGTCTAAGCATTTGGTTCTCATTCTGCAAAGTAGAAAGTCTTTCCTTGAGCTCTGAATTCTTCTTCTCCAAGTCTTTGACTCTTGTTTCCAAATCAATCAAGTAAGCCTTCTTCCTCTCCCTCGCTTGTTGGGCCGAAACTCTGTTCCTCAATAGCCTATTTCCATTTCAAATTCCCTCAGTGAGTCACAGGAGAAAAGTTTCAGTAGAGGCTAGACATGACCAAGGTTATATCTATACCTACCTCTTAAGCCGCTTGCTTTCTTTATCAGCTGGGCTTCTCCCTCTCTTCTTCTGACCCTCTCCCGTCCCCTGAGCACGTTCTGCACCAGCATTTGAACCAGCTTCCGGCCGAGAGGCTGCAGTTCCACCACTTTCCCCTCCAATCTCTGGCACTCTCCTTATCTCTTCATCACTTTCAAGACCTGTATTTTTCCAAATTCACAAGTTCAAACCCACAATAAGTAAAATACAATAGCAGTCCTTTTCTGAACATTAATTATTTTCTGAACAAACCAACACAAAAAGGCCTCTTATATATAGTAGAACATTTATAACAAAACTAAAACTATATTATATTAATTCCTAAGTCAAGATGCTAGATACTGAAAAAGGATGTTTCGTAATTTAATTTTAAAAAGTTTAATCACATACAGTAAAGGTATTCTGCGAAATTAAAAGTCCACAACTTTTATAAAGAAAATTTTCTCTTATACAAATTTCAAGGAATTGAAGAATTTTGAGTTCTTTGTAAGATCCAAGACTCATATAGGAACAGTTATAAAAAGACATTTTTCATTCAAAAAAGTTGAGATAGCCATAAAATGTGATATGCTGACGGCACTTCTGGTTAACTTCATACCCGGTTGCTTTGTATTAGCCATAGGACCTGATGTAGTTTGCATAGATTGAGCATCAGAAGTAGCATATGGAATATCACCAGACATCTAACCATAGAAGAACAATTAGTTTATATTAGTACTAGTATTTAGTGTATCATTGTTGCATAATGATGTCAATGAAGTCTATAAGTAAAATACATTATTTTATGAAATATAACATACATAACACTTGTTACAGTAAATAATTACAAAGCTCAAACAAAATTAGTAGCATACTTGTCTATATCTAAACAAGCTAAGCTACACAAGTGATAAATACAAAATTACATGCTAGAAATCAAATTTACGGTCTAGTATATAACTAAGCATATCACAACATTAAAAGTGAAAAGCATAAGAGTATATCTTCGAGGTTTTCATAATTTTCAAACTTTACTCAAGCATGTCCAACTTCGAGTAATTGAGTCTGAGAATGCATAACTTCAACCAATGGTGCGAGTGCAAGTTCACACATTTTTGCTGCTACACTTGTGATTTAACCCCAGTTGATAAACGACAGAATCAGGTAAATACTTTACCGGTTGCCCGTTTGCTAGATGGGGATTTGGTATTTGAGAATCATGTCCAGATGATGAAGAGAAGTCAGCATCTTCTTGTTCTTCCCATTGCATCCCTGCCTTGGAATTGTTTCCTTGGCCATAGTTGATCTCNGATATATATGACAAATGATTAATGAACCTCCTCACCAAATGGTGCATAACCATGATGAGTAATCAAGTAGTTTGATGATTATTTAAAATACAAGGAGACTAAAATTTTTTGTATGATAATTACATTACTCATAAATAGTGGAACATCAGATTACAATATTTTAGGATAAAACATGTGTTGAGGTTCATCCTTTACTTCACTGTATTACAAAAGCACACCTAGAAAAGAATCATCAAAACTAATGTTTAATTACTTGTTTTTGCTCTTTCTTGCTAATATACCCTTTTTCTTGCTAATATACTCGTCTAAATCTACTCCAGCTATAAGTTTTCTGTCATCGTTTGCCATTATGTTCATTCAGCATTATTGGTACCACTATTGCTCCCTCTCCTGCTTGCTGTTGTGTTCTTCAATATCTACAAAGAGCAATTACATGACTCAGTAAGATAAAGCCAAACAAAACTGACAGCACTGATGAACTTTTTTTTTTCCTACTACAGATTTCTCCCAACAAAATACTACTAATCTCACTTGGGTTGTTGTGATTATCATCAAAGACAAGTTTTAACACACATCGGTATAAAATATGCAAATTTGGTAGTGTATTCTAGTAAATAAGTACCAAAAGTGGTCTGCTATGAGCACATAGGAGAAGTAACAAGCTTATGAAACCTTGGTATTTTTTCGATGCGCATATAAAACAGGAAAAAAAGGAACCAAGTTCCTTCCACTTCATCCAATAACTCAAGGTTTTCTTAACCATTTTGATGTCATATGAAGTCCTAGCTTAAGGACATGTTTGGATGAGCTTCTCCATAAACATTTCTAGACGAAAAAAAGTAAACAAAAACATGAAACTGACTTTTACATAAGCATAAATTAGCTCATGCATAAACTAATTAACCTGTGGAAAAGTCAGTTTAATTTTTTTCTTATTTTGTACTCTCATAAAACTTTATGAAGAAACTCGTTCAATCAAATTGAAAGACTAAACTGATATTGATGGTTTCATAAACCATGCATAAGCTAACATGAATATCCCCTTTGTTCCTTTATAAAACAAATTTTAGAGCACACAAGTCAAAAATAGGTAGAGTAAGTAATGAGTTAGAGAGATGTATATATAGTTATAATGATGATGCCATGCTAACAAAATAAGAAAAATTAGCATACTTGTCTAAGCATTTGGTTCTCATTCTGCAAAGTAGAAAGTCTTTCCTTGAGCTCTGAATTCTTCTTCTCCAAGTCTTTGACTCTTGTTTCCAAATCAATCAAGTAAGCCTTCTTCCTCTCCCTCGCTTGTTGGGCCGAAACTCTGTTCCTCAATAGCCTATTTCCATTTCAAATTCCCTCAGTGAGTCACAGGAGAAAAGTTTCAGTAGAGGCTAGACATGACCAAGGTTATATATATACCTACCTCTTAAGCCGCTTGCTTTCTTTATCAGCTGGGCTTCTCCCTCTCTTCTTCTGACCCTCTCCCGTCCCCTGAGCACGTTCTGCACCAGCATTTGAACCAGCTTCCGGCCGAGAGGCTGCAGTTCCACCACTTTCCCCTCCAATCTCTGGCACTCTCCTTATCTCTTCATCACTTTCAAGACCTGTATTTTTCCAAATTCACAAGTTCAAACCCACAATAAGTAAAATACAATAGCAGTCCTTTTCTGAACATTAATTATTTTCTGAACAAACCAACACAAAAAGGCCTCTTATATATAGTAGAACATTTATAACAAAACTAAAACTATATTATATTAATTCCTAAGTCAAGATGCTAGATACTGAAAAAGGATGTTTCGTAATTTAATTTTAAAAAGTTTAATCACATACAGTAAAGGTATTCTGCGAAATTAAAAGTCCACAACTTTTATAAAGAAAATTTTCTCTTATACAAATTTCAAGGAATTGAAGAATTTTGAGTTCTTTGTAAGATCCAAGACTCATATAGGAACAGTTATAAAAAGACATTTTTCATTCAAAAAAGTTGAGATAGCCATAAAATGTGATATGCTGACGGCACTTCTGGTTAACTTCATACCCGGTTGCTTTGTATTAGCCATAGGACCTGATGTAGTTTGCATAGATTGAGCATCAGAAGTAGCATATGGAATATCACCAGACATCTAACCATAGAAGAACAATTAGTTTATATTAGTACTAGTATTTAGTGTATCATTGTTGCATAATGATGTACCAACTATGATGTCAATGAAGTCTATAAGTAAAATACATTATTTTATGAAATATAACATACATAACACTTGTTACAGTAAATAATTACAAAGCTCAAACAAAATTAGTAGCATACTTGTCTATATCTAAACAAGCTAAGCTACACAAGTGATAAATACAAAATTACATGCTAGAAATCAAATTTACGGTCTAGTATATAACTAAGCATATCACAACATTAAAAGTGAAAAGCATAAGAGTATATCTTCGAGGTTTTCATAATTTTCAAACTTTACTCAAGCATGTCCAACTTCGAGTAATTGAGTCTGAGAATGCATAACTTCAACCAATGGTGCGAGTGCAAGTTCACACATTTTTGCTGCTACACTTGTGATTTAACCCCAGTTGATAAACGACAGAATCAGGTAAATACTTTACCGGTTGCCCGTTTGCTAGATGGGGATTTGGTATTTGAGAATCATGTCCAGATGATGAAGAGAAGTCAGCATCTTCTTGTTCTTCCCATTGCATCCCTGCCTTGGAATTGTTTCCTTGGCCATAGTTGATCTCATTATCTAGATCATCAGCATCTTCTTCTTCATCATCATCACCCTCCACTCCAGCACCCTCTGATATCCATATTCATCTTGTTCATTGTAAATTCTGATTTGGGAAAGACCAAAAACAAAAAGCATTTATGCACAGGCTAACCTTGCTGACTTGTGAATCTAGTCTTGCACTGGGGACAAGATTGGCTCACATTTTTCAGCTCATACTCGTAACAAGAATGACAAAGTGGGAAGCCACACTCATGACAAGCAACAAAGACATCGCCAGTAGCCGTTAATCCAATGGTATCACCACATATTTGACAAATCTGACCATTTAAATTCTTCAAGGGTTTAGACTGCAGAGTATAGAAATTATACAAGTCAGAATTAGAATTACATGACCAAAATTTAAGTTTATGCGGATCAATCTCTTGCAAGACGATATGCAAAAGCAACAAGCCCCATCCATACGAGTTTAGAAGGACACAAACAAGTAAGATTCCATCATGGCAAGATTTTTTAATGAATTTTCCATGAAATCTTTTGTATGATCAAGATCAGACAATTAATTACAGTTAACAAGCATTTTTCATTACCAACACCAGACTGCAACCTGCAATCAAAATTCTTTCAAGTGCCAATGGGCTCATCATCTAAGAGATTAGGCAGTACTGTTTCAAAGAAAAACCTTATCAATTACCACCTGCCAGATGTTGATTCAAAATCACACACTACATGCAAATTACAAATTCAAATTCAACTCCTAAACACCACCACCAATAGGGAATCACACCAGCAATTAAATACATCAAGATCCAACCATCCTACCAACACCACTAAACAATGTTTAGCTGACCGACCAAAAAAATGCAAAAAGAAATCCAACCCAAACCTCCATGCAAGGAGAAGAAGAAAAACAAGGCACTCCAACACACTCTCAAGAAAGAACAAAACTTGCATGACCCATTTGCATTGCAAGCATAAAAACTCAAACTATGAAGTCAGTCGCACACAGTGAAAGAACAAAACTCCCAGAGCCAAAAAGAAAAACAGGAAACATGGTCTTCAGAAAAGTCCAACGAAGAAAAAATGTCGAAACAGAGCCAGAAGAACGAACCCCACTATCGGAACCGTGTCTAACTCTAACAAGTTCATTCCTTTCATGCGACCCAGTTACCATCCCACCACTTCGTTCCATCTCCTTGAAAACCTCCACCAACCCAACTCTCTCTCTCTCTCTCTCTCTCTCTCTCTCTCTCTTACTTCAGCTCTTGTTCCCGCTGCCATGTTCTGCGATTCTAAACGCGACTGTGGCCGTTGGATCTTTCAAGATCTGACGGTGAAGAAAGGATAATCGTGGAGCAACGTGAACCATGTCGAATTCGTGTAATCAAAGGCTGCTGTGAGTGATCGTGGAAGGTTCGGAACCGTTGGATCTGCATGCATCGGAGGGATGAAAATCGGGATGAGGAAATTGAATGGGGACCACGTGGCATGTGGGATGCTGTTATTCTCTTTCTGTTAGAAAAAACCTAATAAATAATTGGGTTCCTCCATTGTACTTTTTGGGAAGTTCTAGTTTCTCACTCATATCATGCAATGTAAACGTAGAAAAAAAAA